CAAAAAAAAAAAAAAAAAAAAAAAAAAAAAAAGAGTTCCAGGACAGCCATGATTGCACAGAGAAACCCTATCTCAAAAATACTAAAAATAAAAAGGAAGAAAGGAAGAAAGAAAAAGAGAAAGAAAGAAAATAAAAGTTTTTTCCCTTCATGGAACTTTTTCCATGTTACTTTGAATAAAAAGGAAAAACATCCCAACTTTCATGTTTGGTTCAGAAAAATAGCAAACATACGAAGATATGTATCTTGTTTGTAAACCTTGAGACTCAGGTACACACTCCAGGGTGATTGGATGTTACAGTAAGCTTGGAGGTCACTGAAAATTGATACAGGAATCTGTAGAGGTCCATGATACAGGACTCTGTAGAGGTCCATTGAGGGAAAGCTATTTGCTCCTGGCCAAAGGAATGTACTATTCCTCCGGCCCTGGGTGGAGACTTAACATTGTGATCTGCTTTAGAGACTGGAACATACTGTTGTTGCCTCCTGTTAGAGATAATCCAGCTGGGCCTGTCAATCACCTGGCCAGGAGATCACCTCTCAAGAAGGCTCCTTCACTTAAAGCCATGCCAAGGAGATGAGAAGAATAATTATTTCTGCAATGAGATAACGTACTTATCTCCCCAGAAGCCTTGGCCTCACTTAGCCACTTGCAGAGCTTCCACCAGGCAGAAGTGTGGCTTCTCTGTCATGTGCTCTCTCTGCTTTTTTGAGTCTCAACTAAAAAACCAAGTGTAACTTCCTTCTTTTCCTTCCCCCCTTTTCATATACTCGTCAAAGGCTGGTCATGCTTTCCCTGGCATTCTGGGCCTTCTCATCCTTCTTCTAAAGCCTTTCCCCAGTCCTTCCACCATGCAGCTTCTTGCAAATGCCATGGTGTTCTCTCTTCCTCTTCTTTATCTCCTCCTGATGGAATGGTCTAGGGTTTACAGTTGCCTGTCATGTTGTATTTCTTTGAGACAGTAGTAAATTTCCCCTTGAACTTTATTTTCAGTTTTTACATTTTTTATTATCAATGAGACTAAGAAATGATCCCCAAGTTGTCCTGGACAACAGGAAGATTTTTTTTAAAAGCCAGTTGCATTTTTACCAAAGACTGATGATGGAATTACAGAATCTCAGAGCTGTATTAGAGCATAGCTGCACTAAACCAGCTGGGACCATCTAGAAGCCCAGAAGATCACTAACTGTCCTTTGCTTCATTATAATAAGATCTCTGTATCTTTACCCTTGCAATAGCTATCTGCTTCGCTCATTCATATGATGTCATTGGAAAACATGTAAGGGCAAGGAAAATACGATATTGTATGGCGCCTTTTCCTCTGGGTACAATTGTTCTTTGCCCCTGGCAACCATGACAATAATTGACAGGTCCGTGGTAATGATACTCCATCCTAGTAAAAGGAGAAAGGGAGGTCCAAAGACTCTCATCTGAGACTCAGCTCTCGTTTCTCGGCTCCCTCCCTCCCTTCTGTAAGGGATTGGAGGGGATATAAAAAATCACAAGATTACTTTAAAGCAGACTCCACCATGCAGTTTCCAGGAGGTTGCCATCCAAGATGGGGTGGGACTTTGTTGCTGTGTCTATGCTACTGTTTTAAAACCCCTTACCTGTTCTCTGTAAGAAAACCCAATAAACTTACTAGTATCAAGTTGAACTTTGATGAAATCATAATCCAGCCTACCTTTAGTGACCCCATAGGTGAGCTGATGTTTGTCTGTGCCTCCCCAGAAAAAAATTAAGGCAACATAGGAGTAACCTTATTGTAACCCAACACATTTCTTAGAATTCCATGTCTTCTTGCCTTACCTAATAATTCTTTCCTATTAGAGTTTGTCAAAAGGAGTTATCCAAATCTCTGTGACCCATCCCCAACCCCACATCTCTGATTGAATTCAGAGCCTCATTCATTCTAGATAAGCATTCTATAAGTGAGAGCCCTATCCTTTCACCTTTCTCTTCAGATACTCACAATCCCCTATTATGTGTCTACTTTGTCCTATAGTAAATTTTCTCCCCATTCTTCATTCTGTTTCATCTTTGATTATTTGCTTATTTCATTATTGGTGACATGAACTGGGAAACACTGGGCGGAAGCCTCAGTTTGCTTTCTGAACATGAAAATCATCCAACCCCCCCCACCATACACACACAACACACATACACCTTTCACCACCAGTAAAAAATGGGGATTTATACCACAGGACACTTAGTCCAAGGCTCTTATAGCAAATTTGGGAGTCTTTGTGAACTTGATTGGAGAAGTCACAAGGGTCTCCTGTTATGAAAATGCATGCTGATAGTGAGAAGATGATCTAAATGCTTATCTCTGCGCAAAGGATAAGTCTAGTGCAGTAGATACATCACTGAGAAGTGCTATGTGGTACTTACAAGTCTTGGCTTCCACAAAATAATTCCATAAACATTCAAAACATGATTTTTGTTTCTTTAAAAATGAGTAATTTGAATCATGTGATCTCTTCCTATTTACTTCTTTGACCCTTTAAGGTGACTACAACAAAATCACACTGCATGTCATTTATGCTAAAAAAACAAATCACAGTGTCTTTGTTAATGGGCAAATCATCTTTAATCAAGTGCAACCCTGGATTTGAAGTGTTGATTTTACTGTGAGAATGATTACATCTGTTTATAATGTCTATAATTACAAGTGATGAGGATGAGTTTGCTGATGATGTTATACCTGCATAAAAATCCGCAAGGACCCTACAGATTCTGCTTGTTTTCAATAAGTTTCAAATAAATATTAATTAAGTTATGCATTTAGTCTATCAGCATTGGTAAAAATAGTTTGTATAGTTCTGGAATATTATAATATATTATGCATTTATGATGAGATAATTTTGATAATGAACAGTTACCCCAACAGAAAAAGTGATCTGTCCAGTACACTCTTGTGAGAGACAGAAGCATGGGCTAAGATGGCCTTCATGATTCTGAGCTGAGTTATCATGCGTGCTGTGGGCCTTGTCATCTCTGTTCTTCGCTCATTCTTTTCATTCAGAACTTGATCCCATCACTTCCATGTGACATCTCTCATCCACACCACCATTGACCTCTGCTTTCTATACCCTGGCTTCTATTTTCTGTACTCACATCTCTTAACCCTCCTGAAGCCTTAGAGGCAGGGGATGTCTTTCTTTAAAAAAGCCCCATGGACCTTCAATTTTCCTTTAAATTGTTACCACTTACTCCAATTTACAGTTTCTTTTCGTTTTGTCTTTTGTGCAACTTCTTCATGTTAAAGCATAGATTTTACTTCTACCCTCCCTTGTTAATTTTCACTCTTCATGGCTGAGTGAAAGCATGTCTGTAGCTTCAAAATCATCTCTAGCTTGCTAACCCCTAAATTCATAATGCGGCCCCTGGCTTCTCTCAAGCTGAAGATCTATATAAAATTCACCATCTATGCATGAGTGCTTGGTAAATATCCTTCTCCTGAGCCAACATCCACCCCCTGTGCCAAACCTGTTTTCTGATAAGTCTGCCTCCCACCCAGTTGCTGGTTCTGCCTGACACTCATGTGTTCAGTGTAGAAGAAAGGCTGTGTACAGAAGTATTCCGTTTCTTCACTCCATAGACCACGCTTTGCCAGTAACCCATGACCTTAGCCGGAGACAAACTCTCCTCTTTACTGAAAGATGAAACCAACTTCCTCATTCATCTCCCCATTTCCATTATTTACCTGTTCCCCTCCAAATATCATTTAAAAATGTTGATTACATCTCTGCATGCTCTGACTCCCCAAGCCTCCCTCTCATAGGTCTGTATAGCAAGCCCTCACCATGTACCACATACATAATTACAATATCTAGTGCAGTCCTCAGAACTTGCCAGACTCAGCTTCTCTCTTTCTTCTCATGCTTCATCCCAGGCAAGCACAACAGTCTTCTTCTTAGTCTGCTGCATTCCCACTCTCACTCTCTTCTTAGAGTTAAGTGACTCTTTTTATTCCCTTTCTCCATTCTTTGAATGGAAGACCAGCCATGGAGATTGGAGGTCATTTATGGTGTATTAAAAGAAAAATAATGGAAGATTTCTGATGAACTTAGAGGGCTGAACGCATTTTGGCTGTTGAATGAGTGAGTGTATGTGAGAAGAAACACAGTAATAGTTGGATAGACCCAGGTTTGCTAAAATAGCTACACTGAATGAATGATCACACACAGTAATCACTGATTCATACTGCAAGTGTTAAGCTAAAAACTGAGTGCTAGGACACATCCAGAACATATGGCTTGGAGCGCCTTGTTGCACGGGGACACTGTACAGCAGTAAACAGTGAGGAGATTACAGGGCAGTAGCTGACTGTTATTTCCATATCGCGTCTCCATTACTTGGACTGAAAAGATAAAATAGTCTCCAGGCCAGACAGTTACCCTGTTGTAATGTTCTTCTCACCAGTGACCCCAGATCTGTCAGAGCAGACTTTGGCTTATTCTTTGCATCTTGCATATCTCACTGGCTACTGGGATGCCCAAGTACTGATTCAAAAGCATAAAGGCATTTTATTGTCTCTATTGGCTGAAGGAATATAGCAAATCAGTCAATTTATTGTTACTTAGTAAGAAGTACTTTAGTTGGGACTTAAAGGGCAAATCTCACAATTTCCTGCCCCCATCCCAGTCAGTCTATCATGACTGTGTCCTCTGGAGATTTTTAAATGATCTATTAATAAGCTAATTGCTCAGATCCAATCCATCAGTTAACAAACTTACTTACACGCCGAAACCACAACTGTCTGCCTGTGGTACAGAGCAGGCTCCATGTTTTTTTTTTTTCTCGCCACTTCTACATTTGGGATGCTTCCTCTACTCTTGCACGTGAGCTACTCCTCATTGTGGAATTTACTGTAGCTTTTTTTTAATCTCTACATTTACATTAGCATGAGTGAAACAAGGTGTCAGTCACAGAAATATATGAACTATGGGATCTCATTTTTTAAAAAGTAATTCTTAGAAATCATCTCTGGTACTCACATCAACAATCAAGAAGTCCAGCCAGCACCAGGCATTGGTGAAATAGGTTTGAAACCCATAGGCCACCCATTTGAGAAGCATCTCCAGGATGAAGATGTAAGTGAAGACCTTGTCAGCATACTCCAGCATGGTCTTGATGGTCTTTCGCTGCTCGATATATATGTCTTCAAAGGCCTGTGAATCAAGACAACTTTATATACCTTAATAGCCTGCCTTTCAAAATACTTAAAATATTTTTAGTCTAATATTGAGAACCAAGCAACAGTTGAAGGAGTATTGGTTAGGACCACACCAATATTTTCTATCAGGCAGAAGTCAAAGGCCAAAGTTAGCTGGGGAATATTGTCAGAGGAGTGTCGGCATCTTCAGTGATTGAATGTGTGCTTTTATCTCTGCTCAACCAAAAGTCATAGCAAAAAGACATGCTTCAGTTCATGGAAGATGAACTAAAGATGTTCAGTTCATAAGGCATAGACTTGAATAGAATTCCAACAATATTTTCTGTGATTCCATTGCTTATTTTCAAAGAATAAATTTATTGAACTTAAAGAATGCAAGGCACACAGATAATCCAAAAATACAGGCATAAGGACAGACTGTGTGACATATGACTGGGATGCTGACACAGCCAGGGGAATGTCTCTAGAAATGGTGTGTCACTGAGAAAAAATACCTGGTGAGAAAACACCAGATAGGAAGTTCCTTCTGATTATTTCATGGTTGTTGTGGAATATTCCTTTATACTGTGTGAAGATGTGTCACTGTGATTGGTCTAATAAAAAGCTAAATGGCCAATCACTAGGCAGGCATATAGCTGGGACTTTTGGACAGAGAGAACTCTGGGAAGAAGAAAGGAGGTCTTCCAGCAGATGGAGAGGAAGCAGGATGGAGAGTGTTGAGTAAAGGTAACAGAGCCACATAAAAGAATGTAGATTAAAAGATATGGGCTAATTTGAGTCATAAGGGCTAGTGGGACAAGCCTACGATACAGACCCGGCTTTCATAATTAAATATAAGTTACTGTGTCATCTTTCACGAGCTGGCGTTCAAAGAAAAAGCCTACTATACATGGTTCTGACTTGCTTTGAAACAAAATTTTGTGGAGAATTCCCAGCTCTGCTTGGCACAGAAGCACCTATTCTTTGGATTCCAAAATTGAGGGGGCACTTTTAGTATTTCCAGAGAACCATTTACTTTCCTCGCACCTGGTCCTCTCTAGTCCACATTCACTTACCAAAGCACCACTGCTGAGAAGAATCATGAAGACAATGAATGTCTCAAACCAATTGTGCTCCACAATGCTGTAGCAGGTCTTCCTCAGATTCCACCAGATCTTCCCTTTGCCTTCTTCTGTACTTACTTGGCAGAAGGGAAATTTTTTAATACACCCTTAAAGGAAACATTAATATAATAAATTAAGAAAAATATACTTTGATTGTTAATATGAAAACGTAACATTTTTTTACATCTTCTTCACCCCAATTCTAGTTCCTCATTTTATAGGTAACTGACTGTTTTATTGACTAGTTTTGTTTCAACACTCTCCTGTATAATGAGGCATACTTAAACATACAGACTTAGAATTTATGGAATTTCTGTACATTCACCTGAGTAAAAATTTTTTCAATACAAGTCACAATCTCTGTGCCTGGAGACCACTTAGGAAAATAGAGTCATTTTTCTTCACAAGGGTTTGGAAGCAAAGCTGGATATGCAAGTTGTTTACTCATATTTTCATGTGACTCTGGGTTTTTACTCCCTTTTCAAGGGCAGAAAATCCCACTGTCTCCCCAAGTATCAGTCACTGTCAGTTTTCTAAAGCTAATTTATATTTGGCCTTGGTGCTTTTCTTAGTCACACCTATGACTCACTTTTCAGTCTGTGTCTCTTACTCCACTCTATTCTCTTCTTCCTCATAGAACTTCATATGATTTCCAATTCCTATCTAATCTATTGCCCTCTCTTAGCTGCTACTTGTCATATTGAATTCAACCACGATGAGTCAATAAATCTTTATTGATTTCTGTACAAGTTGAGTTGATCACTATTAGAATGGCATGGTAGCATGCTACATTTTACAATAGCGCTATCTCCAAACAGTTCTGGTCAGAGCAGAAATTAAACAAATATGAAACTGGGAGAAATGGAATGAAATCATTGCAGCATCTATAATAACCCCACTCCTGGCACATTTTGAAGGGATTGCTGTGTCATGACAGTGCAGAATGCCATACATCTCAGTTGCTATTACATTCTGGAGGATATAGACAACAAAAGCAAAACAGAACAAACAGCAAAAACAACATATGCACTCAGCACGCTTCCTCATTTATCCAGACACAATCTCTGCTGTAGTCTAGTCTGGAAACTTGAGATCTGAATCAAATTAAGACAGAATTGTTGAATGAAACAGGGAAAACAAAAATAAGTATGGCCTCACCATATCCTTCACATGCTTCTTTTAAATAAGGCCTATCCAGATTCTGTAAGGACGGGACATTTCAACATGTTAGAGTTTCTTTACCTTCAGTAAAGCAAGCTTCTGGTTTAAGGTCTTCCTCAGGTTCAATTTCAGCTTGTTCACCTTCTCGGGGCGGAGCAACGTCAACTGTGCTTCCTTCAGAAGAACTGGTTGCATTTAATTTCTGGAAACAAAGCCCACGTCAAAGATGTGAATCTCCTTTTTAATCATGCGATTGGGTCTGTCACATGTGGGAAATGGCAGTGCCTAAAGGTGATGCCACTGATGATGGTGCACTAGTGACATGAGAAAACGCCCACTCTCCAGACAGAAAGGACGGTGGTTAGTGTAGATGATGTGGAAAGATAGATATACTTGCTTTAGAATCTTGTGCACAGATGCCGTGGTCAAACAACTACGAGTACTCCAGCCACGTCAAGAAGAGTCTCATGAAGTTGAGTATGGTCACATGTACTAATGAGTATTTGAACTAAATGCATCTAACCAGATCACAACTTCCACCTCTTTAGATGGAAAGTTTCTGAGGGCAAAGAACACTGTCAGTTGCTTCTAAGTACTGTCCATGTTTCTGTAATTTTAGCAAGGCAGGGCTACAGGTTAACATCAATCACACTCATTCTGGCTCAGCTTTGAGCTATATTTTCCCTTGCTTACATAATTTTCTCCTTACTTTACTAGCAGAAAGTGATGGATTTCCCCCTCTCATTCTTTTTTGAACTGCATAAATGAATTCAACACTTGCCAAAGAGTTCTAAATGAAATGGAAATTTCTCCATAAATGACATTGTCTGGAATATTTATTAGAAGCTCATTGTGAATGCAATGTATGATCAGGCTGCAAATTTTCCCTTTAAATAAATCATTGTGACATGACACATAGCAAGAATAGCCAGCTTAATGTTGCCAGAATAAATACCTAATGCATTTTCTGAGATTATGTGGGAAGACATCACAGATGTGCAATGTTTTATGAAAACTGAGGCAAAGACATGACATACAGCAAGGCTCAGGGGATGTAAAGCTTTTAGGGTGGAGAAGAAGCTCACAGACATACTAATGGTTTCAAAGCCCCATTAATTTCAGTGGCTAAGTGTTTGGGTCACACTGCTCTAGCCTTTGGAAACAGTTAATGTGTTATTCTAAAAAGACCTAAATGGCTCCCCAAACACAAGTTCTTTTGGGAGAAATTTGGCTCATAATTCCTGGCTTATCTTAAATCCAAATGCCAATATAATTTTAATATTTTGAGATGTGAATTAAAGTTGAAGAGAAATGTTAGGATGGTGCTTTCTGTGTTGTTATTGGGAAGGCCATATTAACCATACCCAACTAAGTATATAAAGAATGGACTTCAGTCAAAATGTAGTTCAATATATAGCCCTTCCAAGTGATTAGCATGATGAAGAGGGAAGCTACCTCATCATTTTGGGCTGATGGCTCTTAGGATTGTTACAGAATATGATTTTTTGCCATTACATTCCTTTACTTTCAGAAATGTGGGAAAGCTGAGACAGAATTTCTCCTCCTGAGAGTTTCTGCGTATTTCAACCAGAATATTTTTAATCTTGAAAAAAAAAAAAAGTAAAGCCTAAGAAAGCCGCCACTGGGAATAGTTGTAGCAACTTCTGTTTTAACCAAAGGAATACTAGGTAATTGACATCAGCAACTCAGCTTCACCAGTGGTTGGTAGGGTGAATGCTATGACTTTTTTTTTTTTTTTTTGGTTTTTACGAGACAGGGTTTCTCTGTATTGTTTAGGAGGCTATCGGTCCAGCCTGGCCTCGAACTCACAGAGATCCGCCTGCCTCTGCCTCCCGAGTGCTGGGATTAAAGGTGTGCGCCACCACCGCCCGGCTGCTATGACTTTTTGATGAGTGAGTGCAATTATACCACTGCATAAACGTGTAAACAGTACTGATAAGAAACCAAGTATTCTTGGTTTCAGAGATTGATCACGAAAAATTCCTCTTGGCTAACCAGGCTCAATAATTTCCTTTGAGCATGGTCATGGTCCACCTCCTCCATGAATTCTTTCTTACATGATTGCCTTAGTCAAATTTCACAGTCCATTTAGCCCATTACACTTACTGCCTTTGGCCAAATATGCCCATTTATACATGTGCATGAGTGTTTAAACAGAGATAGAGAGAACAAAACCCACATACATGTACTTTCACATATAGACCAAGCACACATATATATTATGTATTAAAAGATCAAATGCATAATCAAATATGGGAATATATATTAAATCTTTATGTTGCTTTCATGGAGAGTGAGTAAATGAATGCATTTTATGTTACTCTTATAAAGAGAATTATTATGTTTAGATAAATTCAGATTGCTTTCTGATAAATTATGTGAATAAATTTTTTTGAATAAAGTCTATATTAGAAAATGATTTTTTTGAATATAAATGTTTCATTATTAGAAACATATTTTCAAAGCGTTTTTCTATAATATCAGCAGACTTTCAATGAAGAAGTTTGAGGGGGAGAATATTATAGGCATTATTTACAGAATACATGTATATATGCTTTCTCATGTAAAATTTTTAGAAAATATACTTACCCTTTATTTCCATTTTACCTATGGCATTATGTTTAATTTTCAATTAAATTATCTCACCTATGCTATGCTGGCATCTTTTATTTAAATATAAACATTTAAAATAATACTTCATAGCACAAGCAATATTAGCTACTAACCTGGATGTCTAGTTTGTTCAGTGTGAACCTCTGGATCTTATTTTGCTCTTGCGTTCCTTTGAGATGATAAATGTATGGCTATATCAACAAGTTTGGGTATCATAATATCTATATATAGGTGGCCCTGGAGATAATCTCTAGAATCTTAGAGTAGTCCCCTCTATTAGTCCGCTCTGTCTCCTAGTGCTCTGAGGTTCAGCATGACTTTAAACATTCTTGTTTAAGGAGCAGAACTTAAGTGCATGGAAAACTGCTTCATGGCCATTCAAAATGCTTTCTCATTGTTAAACTTCTTAAAGCTTCAGCCTGGGAAGCTTCTCAAGGAATGTTCAGAGGGCTTCCTACAAGTCCTTAGGACCTTCACGAACCGAAGTAGAACGATGGCATACTGGTGTCTATCTCAGAAACGTTTTGTGAGACTTCTCTGTGAGGGTTGGCACAGAGTCAGCTTCCACATGTCAGAGCACTGGTGAGCAAGGCCACAACACTGTTTGAACCCCGTAGGCCAGATTTTGGTCATAGGAAAGTGTGAATACTTTATTCCATGAAAGTATGAAAATCTTGTGTAAACTACATGAAAACTCCAAAGGTAGCAATTTTACTTACATTGGTAAATGAAACCAGGAATTGAATTCTGATTAAGTGACATCAACTGCCCAGTGTACTACCTGACATTCTTGAGTCACTGGACACATAAAGAAGTTTACATCTGCACTTTAAAATCACTAATTTACATTCTAGAAAATTAAGTACTTTATATTCTATACATTGTTGTAATAGCAATTGCTGATTCTACACATCATTATAATACAAATAATCTATATACCAAACACTATGGAATTCATACTCTAGAAGAAGGTAAAATTCTTATCACTATGCCAAAATGACTACCAGATTAACTGAAAAGTTTATGATTCATTTAAAAGCAGTGACTGATGATAAATACAAAGGAAAACTTACTTTCTTTTATATTTGCCAGAGTTGTGATACTACAATGATATCAAAAAAGCAAAGAAACCAGAAATGAAATTTACCATAATAAAAATTACATAAATACTCTAAATAGCCTGAGTTAATACTTGTTCTGAAGTTGTTAAAACAAGTAAGCATATCTGGGAATAGAGGCATAACAACTGAAAATTTCTATATAAAACCACATAGTACAAGTTCAATCTTGTTTTCTTGTACTATTTTCTCTTTAACCCATCCAATATTACACGACCCTTAAAAGTTAGAGTCTTCCATCCCTTGTAGATACTGCTGAGTCTACAGAGGGATGATGACTTATGCTCTATGAATGCACGCTGGGAAGCAGGTTTTAAGATGCAACATTCTCCAGGCCGAACTCAGCCACAGAAAACATGCCTGGCTACAGCAGAAGCCTGGCGCAATGCTGTGGAAGCTGCTTGCTGATCCAAGAACCATGCTCTCAACCATGGTACCTGATGGTGACACTTTCAAGGTTAACTACAGCTACCACACACTGAGAGGAACGGGTTATCTCAACAGAAGAATGACAGAATTAGCAACCAAACAGGCCATGAGAACATTCCCCCCAAATCACGTGATTTTTATAGAGCAATTCCTCCTTGTGAAGAATAGCGCTCTTGAGATTTTATCCAATTAAATAATAGAATAGAACTTCCAGAGATAGAAGAGAATGTTAGCAACTGGCCTACTTCCACTGAAATGCGCTCACATTTCTTTTAATTTTCAATCAGCGCTCTTTGACTCTTACAAACTGCTGTATGGTTCAAGAGAAAAAGTAAAAGATTCAGCCATTACAGATTGCCTCAAAAATTGAGCCATTACTCTCAAAAATCTTTATCATAGAGGTAGACAAAGATAGTCTTTTGAGAGCCTTGGTCTGATAATTTGGATATGAAAATCCATATCCTGATTTAAAACACTTTACATGAACAACAAGCAGACATATGCTGGGGCCATTTGTTGTTTGTCCAAGGCAAGAAGAAGTAAAACCAGCACCTCTCTTCAACCACTTACTGAGTGGTTAAAAAATATAAACTGCCACCATCTGGCTTCTCCTTGACATATGCTAAACAAACAATACCCTGAGTGCTCCTTTTATGTAAAAATAACCATCATAAAAGCATGGTATATAAAATGGAAAGTAATTATGGGGTTGGTGAAGACCTAGTCAAAGGGCATTGAGAAGGCAGCAGAGAAAGATCACTTATCTCCAGAAGGGAGACAAACATTTCCATTAGAACCAGGCTTAATTGGGGTTTCCTCTGCAGACTACCCAGACAGTTCCTAAAGGTCGAGATGGGTTAAAGTGGTTACTCACACACCCATCTCTGCCTCTTGAGAGGTTGTTTGAAGGACACAGGCAACGAATTGAAAGCTACAGTCTTTTTCCCATTGCCCATCAATGTCTGGAAACAGCATAGTGCTTTTTCTGATAGGTTCAATGCTCAGGACCTCAGACAAACAC